GGGGTGGTATAAAGCCAGTAGAGCGGCACCTATTATATTGGTTGCAATAGCATCTAGGGGCCTTCATATCCGGCTGATATGGGATTGCCCAAATCCCCTTTGGAGCAGCCTTCAGGGAGCCAGCCAGAGGCCTGGACGTCCTGAGGTCTCCAGGACTACAAAGATGGCCTAGAGGCCTGGTTGCCGCGGTTACTCCCCACCATTCTTGCTGAATGCTTGGTGGGTCCAGCTCAGGCCTTGTAACTGCTCTGCTGCAGCATGGCAGGTATCCGGCTGATATGGGATTGCCCAAATCCCCTTTGGAGCAGCCTTCAGGGAGCCAGCCAGAGGCCTGGACGTCCTGAGGTCTCCAGGACTACAAAGATGGCCTAGAGGCCTGGTTGCCGCGGTTACTCCCCACCATTCTTGCTGAATGCTTGGTGGGTCCAGCTCAGGCCTTGTAACTGCTCTGCTGCAGCATGGCAGGCTGTCCCCCGCAGTATTGGCCCCTGCCCCGGCCAAAGTTCGCTCCAGATCCAAACGCCAGGGCCACAGCCTCTCCCGGGGACCGGCCCAAGCCTTGCTCCCCCCGCCATGGGATCGCTAGCACCCCACAGCCAGCGAGTGTTGTGTGGAGGCGGGGAACCCCGTGGTGATGACGTGGAAGGTGCCTTTTCATGCTCACTCCCCCGTTCCTCTAGGGTGTTTGCTCGCAGAGAGGTCGCCGCTTCTGAAACATGCAGCATTTTCTTCAGTCAACTTTGAGAACATCTTCCAGTGGGAAATGGGGGCAGAGGCTCCCCCGGGCACAGTGTACGACGTCCAGTACAAACGGTACGTGGCCCTGCCATCTCCCAGCCCCTGCTGGACGTGGCTCTGGGCTGGTGGGTTTCACAGAGAACCAGGCTGGGCTGCCGGAGGCTGGGGAAAGGGCTCGGCTTGGAACTGGGTCTAAGGCAGACACGGGCCACCTGCGGCTGCAGGCCATGGAGGTTCTGTGTGGGGCCCGCCAGACGTTTTGTCACCGTTGCCCATGCTCAGGCTGCCAGATCCGCTGGCTTCTGCCCACGTAGGATTTTTTCCTGACGGTGTTACTAACGTGCCATGCACGGAGAGCCAGGGGGAGCTGATTGCACAGCACTGGCTGGGAGGGAGTGCTCGGCACCTCCACGGGTTCCAGCTATGCAAGTGCAGGGAGCAAAGCCCCCGTCCCGGGAGACCCTCTTGGTTCCGACAATCTCACAGCCCCTGGGATGAAGGCGGCCACTCGCGCGTCCCACTCACACCCACTCGTGCGTCCCACTCGCGTGTCCCACTCACACCCACTCGCGCGTCCCACTCACACCCACTCGTGCGTCCCACTCGCGTGTCCCACTCACACCCACTCGCGCGTCCCACTCACACCCACTCGTGCGTCCCACTCGCGTGTCCCACTCACACCCACTCGCGCGTCCCACTCACACCCACTCGTGCGTCCCACTCGCGTGTCCCACTCACACCCACTCGCGCGTCCCACTCACACCCACTCGTGCGTCCCACTCGCGTGTCCCACTCACACCCACTCGCGCGTCCCACTCACACCCACTCGTGCGTCCCACTCGCGTGTCCCACTCACACCCACTCGCGCGTCCCACTCACACCCACTCGTGCGTCCCACTCGCGTGTCCCACTCACACCCACTCGCGCGTCCCACTCACACCCACTCGTGCGTCCCACTCGCGTGTCCCACTCACACCCACTCGCGCGTCCCACTCACACCCACTCGTGCGTCCCACTCGCGTGTCCCACTCACACCCACTCGCGCGTCCCACTCACACCCACTCGTGCGTCCCACTCGCGTGTCCCACTCACACCCACTCGCGCGTCCCACTCACACCCACTCGTGCGTCCCACTCGCGTGTCCCACTCACACCCACTCGCGCGTCCCACTCACACCCACTCGTGCGTCCCACTCGCGTGTCCCACTCACACCCACTCCCATGTCCCACTTGCGCGTCCCACTCGCACCCACTTGCGTGTCCCACGTCCCACTCACACCCACTCGTGCGTCCCACTCGCGTGTCCCACTCACACCCACTCGCGCGTCCCACTCACACCCACTCGTGCGTCTGTTTTTATGGCCACAGTACAGTAAAAAATAACAGAAAATTGTACATGTCCGGTATTTTCTGTTTCTCTTGGACGAAAGGCTGGCGGGGACAATCTTCCTCTGCCTTGTCTGGCGTGGGGAAGCAAGGAGCGTGGGATTCTTAAAGGTGCAGTGACCTTTTTTTTTTTTTCTTTTTTTTTTTTTCTTTTTTTCCATGTTCGGCATTTTTGGTGAAAGCATCTGGCAAGCCTAGCCCAGAGTTCAGGTCCCAAGTGGGATCAGTGCTGACCCATTTCTGCAAACCTGCATCATGTCCAGGGGGACCTAGCCTCCCTCCATTGAACAAATCTTCTGTAGAGCCTTGGCCCCCATGGCTTGATCACTGAACTCCGTGGGAGTCTCCGTCGCTTGCCTGGGCTTTGGCCCGGTTCCCAGCTGGCAAACGGAGCAGCTCATGAGGCAGAGCAGGGAAGCGAACTTGGGCACCCTGGTTCTCAGCTCCTCCCCCCATGCATTTACCAGTCAGCGGCACTTCCTCTGATCAAGACCCAGACAGGCTACGTCATTGGCTCATCATGCATTAGGCTTCCAGATGTGTGTTAATTACATCATGCTGCATCATGCTGGGGAGGGTATGGGAGATGTGACTGGCTTTCCTAGGGAGGGCATTGGCCAGACACCCTCGCTGGTCGGAAGCCCTGCTTTGAGCAAATGCAAAGTGTGGGGCCATGTGTCAGCCCCTGATATAGCTGCCTTCCGCGTAGGCCACACCACAAACAACCTCCCGGCTGTGGGGCAGGGCGGGGCCGGAATGCCTGTTGTGCTGAGTTCCTGTGTTTCACGTCACCACCCATGTGCAGACACACAACTTCCAGGCTCTGCGCCCTACAGCTGCTCCGCCACGGCTCACACCCTGGCCTGCCTCCCGAGACGGAGGCTGCAGGAAGAGCCACAAGGGCGCCTGGCAAAGGTGGATCCCAAACTCCTGGGCTCTGTTGTGTAGCCAAGCTACAGGGAGCTTCCGGCTGTGCGTGATTTGTGCTGGAGAAGAGCCCCGGGGCTTAATTTGAAATGAAAGAGGTGCCAGGGGCTCAAGGAGAGGTTTCACTCCCTGGAGCCAGGGGC